AGCGCAGCAGCAGCAGCAGCAGCAGCGGAGGAGGAGGAGGGGAGAAGGGCAGCAGCAGCAACAACAGCAGCAGCAGCAGCAGCGGGAAAGATCCGTTGCTGCAGCTGCTGCAGTGTGAGCCACAGCTGCTAGATTGCATGCTGCTGGATCTAGCAAGGGAGAGACTGCAGCAGCAACTAGGCGACAGCAGCAGCAAGAATGCTGCTGCTTCTCGTTCTCCTTCGCGCAGCAGCAGCAGACGTCAGCAGCACAGCAACCGCAGCAAAGGAAGAGGAGGAGGTCCTGCATCTGACGAAGCAGCAGCATCAAGAGAGAGAGACAGCAGCAGCAGCAGCAGCAACAGCAGCAGCAGTAACAGCAGCAGCAGTAGTAGCAGCAGCAGCAGCAGCAGCAAAGCAGCAGGACACCATAGTACAGTACGCCGCAGCCGCAGCCGCAGCCGTAGCCGCAGCAACTCAAGAGGAAGGGACAGAAGGAATAAAGGAAGGAGACAAAGAAGAGGAAGCAGAAGTGTCTCCTATGATAGAGATAGAGACAGAGATAGGGGAGTCTCTGTTGACCAGCAGCAGCAGCAGCAGCAACAACAGCAGCAACAGCAGCAACAGCAGCAGAGACATGATAGACGCAGCAGAATGTCTCCTTCGTCACACTCCAATACAGGTAAGGGAAGAGACAATTGTCTCCTCCCTTCTCCCTTCTCCCTCGAGGGTTTAGGGTTTAGGGTTTAGGGTTTAGGGTTTAGGGTTTGTGTTGTCTCCTTAGGGATGTCATGGAGAAGAGACACAGCAGCAGAAGGAGCAGCAGAAGGCAGCAGCAGCAGCAGCAGCAATTGGGGTGATGAGGGGTCCCATGGCAGCAAGAGACGTAGGGTAGGGGCCTCCTCTAACAACAACAGCAGCAGCAGCAGCAGCAGCAGCAGCAGCGCCTCTCAGTCTGGTGGTGGTGGGTCCTCAGGGGGCCCCTCATCAGGAGGACGTGGAGGTCATCATGGGGGCCCCTCGGGTAGCAGCAGCAGCTCATCACGGGACACAGCAGCAGCCGGTGGTACTGCAGGAGGTGCAGCAGCAGCAGCAGCAGCACGTAGAGGAGAAGAAGGAGACAGATATAATAAGGATAGGGGCTTGCTGCTCGTCTCTCGTGTCTCTAAACAGGGACAGCATGCATGCAGCATGAGTGCTAAATTTATTAAAGGGGACCCAACACTACAACCGTAGGCTGCTGCTGCTGCTGCTGCTGTTGCTGCTGCTGTTGCTGCTGCTGCTGTGCGCCAATGGTGCCTATGCACTATATATACATACATATTTATATATCAATTTGTACCTGGTGCTTGATGTATTGCTGCTGCTGCTGCTGCTTTATCTCCTATTGCTGCTGCTGCTGGTTTATCTGGTGCTTGTGCTGCTGTTGCTGTTGCTGCTGCTGCTGCTGCTGCTGCTGCTGCAGTCCCTCCCGTTTGGATGTGAATCAGCGTGCAAGTTGGGATCGTCTTCAATCGCATTTATTGCGGGGATCGTCTCGTAGCAGCAGCAGCAGCAGTTCTTCTTCTTCTTCTTCTGCTGCTGCTGCTGCTGCTGCTGGTGGTTCTTCTTCTTCTTCTTCTTCTTCTTCTTCTGCTGCTGCTGCTGCTGCTGCTGCTGGTGGTCCCGGAGGAACAGTAGGAGTTGGACAAAGTACATCAGGATCAGGAGGAGGAACAACAGGAACAACAGGAGGAGGAGGAACAATAGGAGGAGGAGGAGGAGGAGGAACAGGAACAGGAGGAGGAGGAGGAGGAGGAGGAGGAGGAATAGTAGGTATAATAAAAGGAATAAATGTACGTTATTCTGTATGGCAAATGGGTGCAGATACACCTATAGATAGTAAACATTATGATTGTTTATGTGATTATTTTCTTCATAAGAATCGTCTTGGCCTAAGGGAGTTACATTATGCAGCAATATATATGGTACCCCCTAACCCTAAATATGCTAGAGTATTACAGGTACGTTATTTATTTATTTATTTATTTATTTATTTATTTATTTATTTATTTATTTATTTATTTATTTATTTATTTATTTTTCTCTCTTTTTTTTTTCCTCTCTTTTTATTATATATTTATCTTATTTTTTTATATATATAATTACTACTAATAACCCTTAATATATTAATATATTATTATATATATATATATATTATACCCCTTTTTTTGTCCCTTTTTCTTCCTCCTTTCTTCTCCTTTTATTGCTTATCTTTTTTCTCTCTTCTTATTCTTTATTTATATCCTTTTTTGTCTCTTTTTTTTTGTATATTTATATGTGGTACCTCCTAACCCTATATATATATGCTAGGGTTTATTTGTCTCCTTTTTGTCTCCTTTTCTTCTTTTTTTTTCCCCTTTTTCTCTCCTTTTTTGTCTCCTTTTATTGTTTATCTTGTTTGTCTCTTTATTCTCTTTATTTTAGTCCTTCTTTGTCTCCTTATCCCCTTTATATATTTATTTATCTGCTGCTGCCTCTCTCTTGCTGCACCTATTGCTGCTGCATGCGGGTGTTGCTGCTGCATGCGGGTGTTGCTGCTGCATGCGTGTGGGGTGTATACGCAGCTCCCTGACACTAACTTTATGTATGCCTTCGTCATAGCTAAGACTAAGGACCCTAAGAACGACATGCAAGGATAAGCAGCAGCAGCAGCAGCTGGTCCTGCTGCAGCAGCAGCAGTAGCAGTAGCAGTAGCTGCAGCAGCAGCATAAGTAGCAGATGCATAGTAACAGCTGCAGCAAGAGCAGCAGATGCATAGCAACAACCGCAGCAAGAGCTGCACGAACTGTAGCATCATCAACAGCAGCAGCAAAAGCTGCAGCAAGAGCTGTAGCAATAGCTGCAGCAGCAGCAGCAAGAGCTGCTGCTGCAGCAGCAGCAGCAGCAGCAACTTCTTTATTGCTGAATGTTTAAACGCTTTTGAGTTTCTGTTTTAAGTATACAAATTCAACTACACACTGCAGCAGCAGCAGCAGCAGCAGCAGCAGCAGCAGCAGCAGCAGCAGCAGCAGCAGCAGCAGCAGCTGCAGCTGCTGCTGCTGCAGCTACAGTTGCTGCTGCTGGTGCTGCTGCAGTCTGCATGCAGGGTAGTTGTATACTGTAGGAGACTGTCTCCTTTGCCTCCTTTCTGTTTTATTTTATTTGCTGCTGCTGCTGCTGCTGCTGCTGCTGCTGTTTGGAGACACTATAGAGGGAAACTGTCTCCTTATTATAAACCTTATAATAAATAAATAAATAAAATAAATAAATAAATAAATAAATAAATAAATAAATAAATAAATAAATAAATATAATAATAATATTATTATTATTGGATATATACATAAACAGACAAATAAACATTGCTCCTATTAAGCTAGGGGAAGCAGCAACTGCAGCGGGCACGTTTGCTACTGCAGCAGCAGCTACTGCAGCAGGAACACAGGAACACTCAGTAGAGCAGCAACAGCAGCAGGATCAATGCATGTTTTTGCTGCTGCAGCAAGGGAGACAGCAGCACGAGAAGAGACACAGGAGGGAGGAAGGAGACAACTTTGCTGCCCTAAGGAAGACAGCAGCAGATTGTCTCCTTGCTGCAGCAACTTGTCTCTTGTTGCAGCAAATTGTCTTTTTGCTGCAACAAGCAGCAAATTGCTGCCCCCCTCTCGGGTGTATACGCAGCTGTACATGCATGCATGCAATGTTGTGGTGTATGCTCACCTCCTGCATGCATGGAGGGAAGCAACATGGGGCTTTTTTGTGTAGCTGCAACATTGTTAATAGCTGCTGCAGCAGCTGCAGCTGCAGCAGCAGCAGCAGCAGCAGCTCCTGCTGCTGCAGCAGCACAGGGGATAAGAAGTAAAGGGTGAATAAATAGTTAAATAAATAATAATTTATTTTTTATTTATTATTAAATAAATAAATAAATAAATAAATTAATTAATTAATTAAATAAATAAAAGAAAGAAAATATTTATTAAGACATAAAAATAACAACAACCCCACCAACCGCAACACGCACCCACCCATCAGCAGCAGCAGCTGCTGCAGCAGCAGCAGCAGCAGCAGCATTGGGTCCTGCTGCTGCTGTTGCTGCTGCTGCGGCATTTTTAGGGGCAAAGGCCCTTGAAATGGCATTTAAAATCCTTAACAAACCATTTGCTGCTGCAGCTGCTGCTGCTGCTGCTGCTGCTGCAGCTGCTGCGCTCCCTAGGCTTGTTGCCTAATCAATCATTCCCCTTTGCATCCTTTTAAGACACACATCTCTGCTGCAGAAGCAGCAGCAGCAGCTGCAGCAGCCGCTGCAGCAGCAGCAGCAGGAACAGCAGCAGCAACAACACAAGCTGCTGCTGCTGCTGCTGCAAGCGCAGCAGCACGCGCGCTCTGCTCTCGCAGCAGCGGTGGTGATTTGACTGTCTCCGTCTCTTGTTCAATTGCTGCTGCAACAGCAGCAGCAGCAGCAGCAACAGCAGTAGTAGCAGCAGCAACTCAAAGAGGATCTGCTGCAGCAGCTGGTGCAGTTGCTGCTGCTGCTGCTGTTGCAACAGCAACACAACAATTTGCTTATATAAGACAATACTGTTAGCTACATAAGGGCATCGACGTTTGCTGTTTGCTGCTGCAGCAAGAATTAACAGCTGCATACTTCGTTAGCAGCAGCAGCAGCAGCAACAACAGCAACCAGCAACCGCCTTCTTTTCCTGCAGCAACAGCAACAGCAGCAACAGCAGCAACAGCAGCAACAGCAGCACTCTCCTCGCTGGTGGAGCGACAGGAGTTGTTGTACAAACACTTCTTGTAGCTGCTGCTGCTGCTGCTGCTGCTGCTGCTGCTACATCTGCTGCAGCAGTTAGCTAGCTTGCAAAACCGACCGTCCCCTATCAAGGCTCCTGAGCTGCAGCAACAGCAGCTGCAGCAGCAGCAACAGCAGCAGCAGCAGCAGCAGCAGCAGCAGCAATGTGGGCGCTGCCTCTTCAGCTGCCCGCAGGCGGCCGCCCTTTGGGCGTTTTCTATAGAGAGGAATTCCCCTTATGGCGGCCGCAGCAGTCATGGGGTATACAGCAGCAGCAGCAGCAGCAGCAGCAGCAGCAGGAGCAGCAGAAGCAGAAGCAGCAGCTGCTGCAGGTGCAGCAACAGCAGCAGCAAACGAGCCGCCCGCAGGGGGAGATGTGCTGCTGCGGTAGGGTACTTGCTGCTGCTTATGAGGTAGGGGCCCCTACAGGCTGCTGCTTCTTAATGGAGGATCTAGATTGGACAGCAGATGCAGCGCAGCAGCAGCAGCAGCAACAGCAGCACAGGTTGCTGCTGCTGCAAAGCTGCTGCAGCGATTCGCCAGTACATACAGGGCCTCCTTCCTTTCCCCCCCTAATCAATAGCAACGCATACAGCAGCAGCAGCAGCTGCTGCTGCAGCAGCAACTGTGGGGTTGCTGGATACTCCTCTGTTGTTAGGGGGCCCATGGGGGCCTCCATGGGTACTAAAGGCCGCAGCAGGAGGTGGTGGACTGGCAGAGCAGCAGCAGCAGCAGCAGCAGCAGCAGCAGCACCTACTGCTGCGAGGACCCGAGGGTAAGCATTTGTATACAAGACAAATAAATAAATAAATAAATAAATAAATAAATAAATAAATAAATAAATAAATAAATAAATAAATAAATAAATAGGTAAATAAATAATAAGTAAGCAAATAAATAAATAAATAAATAAATAAATAAATAAATAATAAATTATTTGTTTGTTTGCATATCTGCTCAGGCATAACCCTCTATCTGCTGCTGCTGCTGCTGCTGCTGCTCGTCTTGGCTTCCTTTCTGGGGGCCCCTCCCCTGGTGACCCCTCTCTGTGGGGCCCTCCTGGGGGTCCCCCTGTGTGGGGCCCCCCAGTGGGCCCCCTACGTTCCTTAGATTTGCCTGGGGCCCTGCAGCACCCACGACTGCAGCAGCCGCTGCAGTGGGCCCCACAGTCGCAGCAGCTAGCAGCAGCGCTGCTGTCTGCTGTATACATTGCTGCAACAGATAAGACGGGGGCCCCTATATCCGAGCCAGCACCCTTATGGCCTGCAGCAGCAGCAGCACAGCAGCAGCAGCAGCAGCTTGTGCAGCAGCAGCAGCACCTTGTTGCTTCTTTAGCAACACAGCCCTCCCAAGACCCGCTCGCAAGCCAACACATGCAACAGCAGCAGCAGCAGCAGCAACTGCAGCAACTGCAGCAGCTGCAACAGCAGCAGGAAGAGGATGACATGTTTCTTAGCTCAGGGGCCCCCTTTAGGTATAGTGAGGGGGCCCTGGGTACTGGCATAGATATAGGGGTATCTGATGGCGCGCTGCTCTCTTCTGCTGCTGCTGCTCCTCCTCCTTCTACTGCAGGATCTACTGCTGCTGCTGCAGCAGCAGCAGCAGCTGCTGCTGCTGCAGTGTCTCCTCAAGGGAACGATATGCAGATTGTCTCCTGTCTCCAATTTGCTGCAGCAAATGAGGCCTTCTTAGCAATAGGGTTTGCTTCTGGTACCCTCGAGCTCTGGCTGCTGCCCCATACCTGGGGGGCCCCCCAATCAGGGGCCCCTGATGATGAGGATGCCGCTGCTGCTGCTTCTGCTGCCTTTTGTGTTGCTGCTGTTGCTGCACATACACCGGGAGTCTCTCCCTGTGGCAGCGAGCAGCGCAGGACTCTTCTTGACGCCTTGGCAACCCTCCACAGCCAGCAGCAGCAGCAGCAGCAGCAGCAGCAGGAACAGCAGCAGGAGGAGGAGGATTGCATGCACTGCTGCTGCTGGGAGGGCCTCAAGGGGGCCCCCGAGGTTGCTGCTGTTGCTTGGCACCCTAAGGAGCTGCTGCTTGCTGCAGCGCATGCAGATGGTCGTGTAGAGCTGTGGCAGGTGGATATACACCCTACAGCAGCAGCAGCAGCTGCTGCTGCTGCTGCAGCACCGTATCATTCTGAAAGCGGATCAACAACAGCAGCAACAGCAGCAGCAGCAGCTGCTGCTGCTGCTGCAGGGGGAGTAACAATGCAGCACCTTCATTCCTTTCTTTTCTGCTGTCCCCTCCCCCTGTCTCCTCCTTCCCTAAGTAGTCCCTTCTCGCTGCTGTCTAGGGGGGCCCCCGAGCAGCAAAGGAAAGAAAGTGTCTCCTCTTTGCTGCTGCAGTCCCCTTCTTGTTTAGTGTGGGGCCCCCAAGGAGACAATCTTGTTGTAGGCAGCAGGGAGGGGGCCCTTTTGCTTTGGTCTCTTGATACCCTCAGACAATACCGCCGAGCTGCAGCAGCAGCAGCTGCTGCTGCTCCTCCTTCTCCTCCTCCTACCCCTGCAGCAGCAGCGCCTGCAGCAGAAGCAGCAGAAGCAGCAGGAGAAGCAGCAGCAGAAGCAGCAGCAGCTCGAGGGCAGGGATCCTGTGAGGGATTCAGGAGGGCCTCGGACCCTGGGGCCCCCACGCATGCAGTAGTAGATAGATCCCTTGACTTTGGGGGTCCCCCTTCAGAGTCCCTGGGTAGTAGTACCCTTGGGGGCCCCCCAAGTACGACAGAGGAGGGGGGCCCCCATCTACGTGCTGCTTCTTATTTAAAGACTATTAGCGAAGCATCTACATTACCCTCTAATGCTTCTCCTCCTGATACTCCTCTAGGTAGAGACGCGGGGGTAGCACAGCAGCAGCAGCAGCAGCAGCAGCAGCAGAAGCAGCAGCAGGAGCAGCAGCAAGATGTGCAGGAGGAGCTGCAGCTGCTGCAGCAGCAGCAGCAGACGCATGCTGCTACGTCTTGCAGACATGACAGCACAGGAGGTGTTAATTTCGATCCCGATCCCCTGGGATCGGGATCGAGTCCCAAGGGCCTCCGTGGCGCCTGCAGCAGCAGCAGCAGCAGCAGCAGCAGCAATAGCAGCACCCAGAAGCTGCTGCAGCCCTTCCTGCCGCATTTTGCTGGGGCCCCCCAGCTTCACCTGCGTCTTCCCCAAGGCTCAGCCGGTAGCTTCGGGGCCCCCCCAACCAGTACCCAGGGGGGGCCCCCCGCCAGTACCCAGGGGGCCCCCGGGGTACTAGTATGCGGGTCTTGGCAGTTAGGGGTCCTCTCTGTTGTTGTTGCTGCTCATGGAGGGAGAGTAAGGTGTCTCTCTTTTTGCATGCATGACCAGCGGCTGCTGTTCTCCTCAGGAGACACTGCAGCACCTGCTGCTGCTGCTGCTACTGCAGCAGCAGCTACTGCAGCAGCAGCTACTGCAGCAGCAGCAGCAGGAGGAGGAGGAGGAGGAGGAAGGAGCCGATTAAAGGCTTGGCTTATAGAGGGAGGATCTCTTTATTTATCTCCTTTGTTAGATATTTATATGGAGGGAATCGTAAGTTATTACCTTTTGTCTCTTTTTTTGTCTCTTTTTTTTTGTCTCCTTTTTTGTCTCCTTTTTTGTCTCCTTTTTTGTCTCTTTTTTCTGTCTCCTTTTTTGTCTCCTTTTTTTGTCTCCTTTTTTGTCTCTTTTTTTTCTCCTTTTTTGTCTCCTTTTTTGTCTCCTTTTTTGTCTGTTTTTTTGTCTCCTTTTTTGTCTTTTTTTTTGTCCTCTTTTGTGTCCTTTTTTGTGTCCTTTTTTGTCTCCTTTTTTGTCTCCTTTTTTGTCTCCTTTTTTGTCTCCTTTTTTGTCTCCTTTTTTGTCTCCTTTTTTGTCTCCTTTTGTCTCCTTTTTTGTCTCCTTTTATGTCTCCTTTTTTGTCTCCTTTTTTGTCTCCTTTTGTTATTTGTGTACAGATAACATCTATGTTATGGAGTCGTCTTAGTGGGGAGTTGCTGCTGTCGCATAGTTGGAGGAGACCATCAAAGGGGGGCCCCCAAGGGTACAAGGGGGCCCCCAACAACAGCAGCTGCAGCAGCAGATGGGGGGCCCCTTTAAAGACTGGGCGCCTCGGGCATAACGGGAGAGGAGGAGTAACGGTGTGGCGCTACTTTGGAGACGGCGGCAAGACCGGGCATTCCTTGCAGCAGCAGCAGCAGCAGCAGCAGCAGCAGCAACAGCAACAGCAGCAGCTGCAGCAGCAGCAGGAGTTTGATGAATGGAAGGCTGGCAGCAAGGGTTTGGGGGCCCCAGGGGCCCCCCTCAATACCCCTTCGCTGCTTCTGCCTCTTTTAGTAAAGGTAGGGGGCTTTGGAGAGAAACCTGTGCGGCGGGACAGCAGCAGCAGCAGCAGCAACAGCAGCAGCAGCAACAATATCAACCTCATCAGCCCGCGAGCAGCAACAGCAGCAGCAGCAGCAACAGAGCAGTTTATACCTGGGGTGTCTCTGCTGTCACCATTGTGGCCATCGGGGGCCCCCCTAGCTGCTTCATCACCTAGCAGCAGCAGGGGCCCCCTTGCTGCTGCTGAGGGTGCAGGCATGTGGCTGTCTCCTGCTGCAGCAGCAGAAGCAGATGGATCCCCGGAGCCCCACAACTCCTACCATCCTCATCCGTACCTCCCGTACCCCCACCATCACCGTCACCAGCAGCAGCAACAGCAGCAACAGCAGCAGCAGCAGCAGCAGCATCAGCAGCAGCACGGAGACTTGTACAGCGAAGCAGATAATGCTTCTTGTCTCCTACAGAGTAATGATGGATCTGTTGTTGTTTATTGGTCTCTCCCTGCAGAGGCTATTATTGTATGGCCTCTATGCAGCAACAAAAAAAAATACCAATCCTAATTGCTGCAGCAGCAGCAGCAGCAGCAGCAACAGCAGCAACAGCAGCGGTAGCAGCAGCAGCTGCTGCTGCTGCGGCAGCAAAATGAGGGAAGTTTCATGTGCCATCCCTAAAGGCATCAATCACCGATTTAGCAACTGCTAAAGAAGCAGCAGCAGCAGCAGCTGCTGCTGCTGCAGCAACAGCAGCACCAACAGCAGCAGAAGCTGCTGCTGCTGCTGCAACAGCAGCAGCAGCAAATATAGCCATCCTGCTGCATTTATCTGCAGCAGCAGGAAAGTTAGTATATAGGATTTTCTTTCTTTAGCTAAGGCAGCAATTTACTGCCACCGCCTCTCCCCCATCATATATCTAGCTAGCTAGCTAGCTAGCTAGCTAGCTAGCTAGCTATATAGCTAGCTACCCAAGTCGCTAGCTTGCTAGCTAGCTGGCTAGCTTGCTAGATAGCAATCTAGCTAGCTGGCTAGTTAGCTATTTATCTAGCTAGCTAACTGGGTAGCTAGCCAGCTAGCTAGCTAGACAGATGGAGGGATATCCAACTTATGCACTAGCTAGCTAAGTACGTAGTGTACTAACTGAGTAACAAGGTAGCTAGCTAGCTAGCTAACTGGCTAGCTAGCTAGCTAGCTAAGGACCTATAGAACTGGATATCTAGATAGCTAGGTAGCTAGCTAGCTAACCCAATGGCTAGCGGACTAATTAGCTAGCTACCTAGCTAGCTAGCTCAGCAGCTAACTAGCGGACAACCTATCAGGCAGAAGGCAACCAGGGCAACCTGTTAACTCCAGCTAGCTGGTTAGCTAGCTGGCTAGCTAGCTAGCTGGGTAACTTGCTACCCGGCTACCCAGGTGGATAGGTAGGTAGCTAGCTGTAGGTGAGGAAGAAACCCGTAAGACGACTAGTCCATTAGATGAGACAGTTGCTGCTGCTGTTACTGCTGCTGCTGCTGCTGCTGCTGCTGCTTCTAAAGGAGACGAAGGAGATGCATAGGAGAAACATACTGAGTCCTTAAGTAGAGACACGTAACCGAGTGGCTGCTACTGCTACTGCTGCTGCTGCTGCTGCTGCTGCTGCTGCTGCCGTTTCTCCTGTTACAATGAAGACCAATACAGCAACAACAGCAGCAACAGCACCAATCGAAGCAGCAGCAGCAGAGGAAGCAGCAGCAGCAGTAAGACTGAACAGATGACGCATGCAACACAGCGACGCAGCCATCCAAGTCAATTGAATCTTCCTGCAGCAGGTTGGGGCTCTGGCTGCAGCAGCACCGTTAGAAGGTCCTGCTGCTGCAGCAGCTGCTGCTGTTGCAGCAGCAGCAGCAGCTGCTGCAGTGATGCAGCAAGAGGAACAGCAGTGGGGTGTCTTAACAGCTATGCTGCAGCATTAAAACAATTATAAAGGGCAGCAAAAACTCTATCTCTTTTGTCTAGGCAAATAACACCAGCAGCAGCACCACCAGCACCAGCAGTCGCCGGTGCAGCAACCAGCCGCAGCAGCAGCAGCAGCAGCAGCAGCAGCAGCAGAAGCAGCATGTAAGTAACTTCTGTTTACATATTTCTCCTCCTTACTAAGAAGGAGAAAAAGACAAAATTAGCCATTAATAATAAAGACAATTGAATAAAGGCTACTATTAGCAGCGACAGTGCAGCAGCAGCAGCAGCAACAACAACAACAGCAGCAGCAGCAGCAGCAGCAGCAGCAGTAGAATCAGCGATACTTCTACTGCGTCGTTAATAGCCTTCTGACTCTAAACCCTAAACCCTAAACCCTAAACACTAAATAAGAGACACACTGGTGTTTGCTGATCTCTTAGATTCTTGCTGCTGTCTTACTGCAGCAACAACAACAGCAGCAACACTATCGGCGCGGCGAGCTGCAGCAGCAGCAGCAGCAACAGCAGCAGCAGCGGGAGCCGCAGCCTCTGTTGTTGTGTGCGCACTCAAAAGTGGTGCAATGCAACATAACAAGTGCAGCAGCAGCAGCATTAGCAGCAGCAGCATTAGCAGCAGCACCACTAGCAGCAGCAGCACCAGCAACCACCTTCGGTGGTCAGCCACTCATTTTCGTGGTTAATGGTGCAGCAGGAACAGCAGCAGCAGCAGCAGTGACAGCAGTCAGCAGCACAAAGGACAACTGTCTTACCAACGGCATCTCCACCTGCAGCAGCAGCAGCAGCAGCAGCAGCAGCAGGTAGGAATGCCACCACAGAGAGCAGCAGCAGCTGCATCCCTGCGATGAGCGCAGCAGGCCACGTGCCGTGTCTGCAGCAGCAGCAACAACAAAATTCACTGCAGCAGCAGCAACAACAACAGCAGCAGCTGCAGCAGCTCTTCACAGAGCAGCAGCACGAGCTGCTGCAAGACCTGCTGCAGCACTATGTTATTGTAGGCCCTCGTATAAGCAGCAGTGCCTGCGCAAGAAGAGGGGAGCAGCAGCAGCAGCAGCAGCAGCAATGGCGTGTCTCTTATGGGGCCGTAGCAGTACCAACATATCTTCTTAGCGATGATGCATGCAGCAGCAGCCACACGCTGCTGCTGCAGGTGTTTGCTGCAGCAGCTGACCAAGAGAAAGAGGGGCAGCAACAGCAGCAGCAGCAGCAGCAGGAAGAGGAGCAGCAGCAGCAGCAACGACAATGGCGTCTGCTCCCTCTAGGGCATGCATCACAGCATCCCCTGTTAGGTTGCTGCAGCTGCTTGCAGCAACTCCTTGCAGGGTCCAAGGCAGCAGCAGCAGCAGCAGCTGCTGCTGCAGCATCAACAGCAGCAGCTGCTGCTCTGAGCCCCGAGACAATTTCTGCGTCGCAGCTGGATACAGCTGAGGGACACACGCAGTCCCCTAGCCAACCACCAGCAGCACCAGGGGCAGCAGCAGATGCAGCAGGAGCAGCAGCACAAGATGCAGCAGCATATATAGCAGCAGCAGCTGCTGCTGCTGCAGCAGAAGCAGATGCAGCAGGGGAAAATACAGCAGCAGCAGGTGGAGCAACAGAAGGGGGGAATATAGAAGGTGGAGGTTGCAGCAACAACAGCAGCAGCAGCAACTGTCAACAGCAGCTGCAGCTGCTGCCGACCTCACCGCAGCAGCAACAGGACCAGCAGCAGCAGCAACCGCAGCAGCACCAACAGCAGCAACAGCAGCAGCAGCAGCAGCAGGTGTACGTACACTGGGGATTTACAGCAGCAGATGGACGCAGCTGGAGGGAGCCTCCTCCTTTCTGTGCTTCTCCTCATTGTATACGAGCACCTAATAAGGCTGCGCTGCAGTCCCCCATGCATGCTTGCTTTTGCTGCTGCTGCTGCTGCAGCTGCAGCAATGCTGTAGGTGAGGAAGGAGGTCAGAGGACCTGCTGCTGCCCACCAGGATCCAGCTGTGGCTGCAGCAGCGGCAGCAACAGTAAGGAGACAGCACCAGCTGCTGCAGCAGACAAAGGTACTATTAGCGGTGAGCTATTGCCTTTTAGTAGCAGCAGCAGCAGCAGCAGCAGAGGTCTCGGCCCGTGCTGCAGCAGCAGCAGCTGCAGCAGCAGCACACAGCAGCGGCGATTTGCTGCTGCCTCATACTGCGCCTTTGTAAGATTGGGTTGCCCTGTCCGGGTGTCTTTACCCCTTAGGAAGCAGCAGCAGCAACAGCAGCAGCAGCAGCAAGAGCAGCAAGACCAGCAAGAGACTGTAGAGTTTGTGCTGCACTCGTCCTTGCATGGATGGGTTAAGGCAGCAACAGAGAGAAATTTCTCCTTCAATTGTGCAGCAGCAGCAGCAGCAGCAGAAGCAGCAGCACTACAGCATGCAGCTCTGCTGCTGCTGCGCATGCAGCAGCAACAAATAGGGTGGCAGCTGCAGCAGCAGCCTTTGCATGCGGCGCCTGTGCTGCTGCGTCTGCGGTGCCTAGAGGCATTCGAAGCAACAGCAGCAGCAACAGCAGCAGCAGCAGCAACAGCAGCAGCAGCAGCAACTAGAAGACAATGTATGATTATAACATGGCGAGTTGGGCGTTGGCTAGCGCTCGACTTAATTATAGACAACCTTACAGCAGCAGCAGGAACTGCAGCAGCAGGTACAGCCTCAGCAGCAGCAGCAGCAGCAGCAGCAGCAAGTACAGCAGCAGCAGCAGCAGCAGCAGCAGATGGTGAGTATCAGGTACAGATTGAAATGGGGGGACAGCTAAGAGTTTGCCTAAGGAGGCCTAGTAAGGGGGGAAGGCCCCCGCTGCAGTGTTTGCTGCCAGCAGCAGCAGATGCAGCAGCAGCAGGAGCTGCAACAGATGCTTCTTCTGCTCCTGCTGCAGGTCTTCCTGTTGGTCTTGCTGCTGTACTGCAGCAGGCAGCAGCAGATGAGACAGCTCCTCTTTCTGCACTACCCTGCATAGGTTATGGCTGCTCAAGTCTGCTGCGGTTGCGGCTGTTGCTGCAGCAGCAGCAGCAACAGCAGCAGATTGCGCTGCGGCTGCTTAACAGCAAAGGGGCCCCCATGGCCTTTGTTCTTCGGTGCGTAGAGCCGGAGTTCGCTGCTACAGAGAGGCCGCAGCAGCAGCAGCACGAAATAGAGCAGCAGCAGCAGCAGGAAGAGCAGCGGCCAGAAGAGCGCCAGCTGGAGACGCGTATTGTTTTGTATGAGCTGCAGCAGCAGATGCAGGAGCTGCCGTGGCAGCAGCACGGCGAGCAGCAGCAGCAGCTGCAGCACTTAGGGGTGGGAGGAAAGCATTTGTGTGTTGCAGCGCATGCAGGCAAGATGTGCAGTGGCGTAGGTGCAGCAGCAGCAGCAGAGACAGCAGCAATGATGGCTTCTCCTGCTGCTACAGAGGAAGGCAGCACCTTTTGGCCAGCAGCAGCAGCAGCAGCAGATGCGCAGCAGCCGACTTTAGATCTTGAGGATGGGACGGATCCTGTAGTAGCAGCAGCACTAGCAACCGCAGCAGCAGCAGCAGCAGATGCTGCAGCAGCAGCAGCACGGACAGCAGCAGGTGCAGCGGCGAATCGGGCGGCCGTTGCCGATACAGCAGCGGAGAGTGCAGTAGCAACAGCAGAAGCAGCAGCAGCACAAGCTGCAGCAGCAGCAGCAGCAGCAGAAGCAGCAGCAGCAGCAGCAGAGGATGCATCAGCAGCTGCTGCTCGTGCAATATCGGATGCAGATGAAGCAGCAGCAGCAGCAGCAGCAATAGAAGCAGCAGCATATGCAGCAGCAGAGAAAGTATTCTGTACAACTAATGAATGGCGGCTGCTGCTGCCGCTGCTGCTGCAGCAATTCAATGTTTTGCTGCTGTCCTGTGTCTCCAACTTCAACTATGGAGGACAGAGGCTTGTCTCCTGCAGGTAGCACTCTCTCTCTTTTTTTTTTTTTTTCTCCTTTTTTTT